GTGTCTGCCTTCCATTGTATGCCTCCAAGAAGCTGAATTCCCCTGGAATTCAACAATAACAACAAAAAGATGATCAATTTAAGCAACAAATGAGTATATTGAGAAACCAACCAGCTATATACATACCTCAGGAACAATCCTGTTCAAGAAAGTCTCAGTATCATCTTGAACATCTGGATCATAATTCTCATTGATTGTGAGCGAAGCACTTGTGTGTTGTACTGCAAAAATTAAACAAGTTTTTAGATCAAGAATCCAAAAAAACTGAGTAAAATTACAGAGAAGAAGAAAGAAATCTCACAGAAGACATAAGCAAGGCCACATTGAAATCTGATAAGTCTTTCCTTATTTCCTTCATAATCTGTTTAAACAACACAACAAGAACAATTCTTCTTGTCCTTAAAAACACGATTATAACCCAAAAAAAGCGAATCAAACAAGAATCGAATCAAAACCTTAGGAGTGATGAGATGACATCCACGTTTTAGCGGTGGAAGCGTGATGATTTTCTGAGCCCACTTCGGACCAGAAGAAGAAGTCGCGATTGAAGCTCGATCTGTGCTCGGATTCTTTGGAGTCAAAACCGATCTTACACGAACAGGAACACAGAGAGATGAATCGCCGTTTGTGGTTCGATTTGCCAGAGAGAGAATCGCGAGAGACGGTGAGAGAGACGACGAAATCGACATCGGAAGAGGAGAAGCTCCGACGACAACAACTTTTTACATCGACATCGCAATCGCCATCGGAGGAGGAGAAGAGAGAGATGACGAGAGCGACTGTTTACACACGGTCCACTAATAAACCGCCACGTGTACCCGAAGATCCGATTTATTAAACTCTTCCCAGAGAACCGTTTCATCTATAATTCACCTAATTAAATAATTTTCTAATGATTTTTATTCTAAAACACCCTTAAAATATGTTCGTTAAGATGCTCTAAGAATATATTTTTTAATGATTTTTAATGGTTTTTATTCTAAGAGTATCATTAACGGACACACTTTATGAGTGTCATAGAGTAAAAATGATTAAAAAATTATTTAATTAAATGAATTATAGATGAAACGGTTCTGTGGGAAGAGCTTAATGAAACGAGTCTTCGAGTGTCAAACTGTTTTGTAATATTAAATTTAATCTTAAAAATTTATTTAAAACCCCATTAATGATGCTCAAAGGAGGCAGACGATCTATGCCCATAATGATGAGTTCGGCCCGGAGAGACGACCTCAGACCCATGATGATTTAATCGATCTAGGAGCTTCCGGAACAAAGGAAAAAATCAACATGAAGAAATGAAATCTACTAGCATATAGGAAGTTTTTCTTATCATGTTAGGATTTAATCGACGACTCATACTTGTATAAATATGTATGTACTCCTTTTGAAGAGGGGATCCACAATTTATTCAATAAACACACCTACTTCAGCTCTCTTATCCATCGTTTTATTAATATTTGAGCTATTATTCTTATAAACCGATCGAGACTCTTTAAATTGTTTAAAAACTCTCTTTTACGGATTAAGGTTATATAATTAGTAACAATAAAAAGAAATCTCTCTCTCGAAAAGAAAAAAAGAAAACAGAGAGTAGTAATAGGATGGAGGTAGAGGAGGAGAAGTCATAGGTTTCGTCGCAGAGACTGTGATCTACTTGTATAAAATTAAAGCCACCGAAACAGATTCCTGTGCATGGAATCGTATCTCTGAAACTTGGCTCGTGTCTTTGTCTCTTCACTATTTATTTTTTAGATACTGACTCAGGGGCGGAGGTAGACACAAATTTCATTGGGGACAAGCACTATAAAATAGATGCATAATACTATATTAAACAAGAAAAATAAATTAAATCTTAATAAGTTATAAAAAAATTTCAAAATTCATTGGGGGCAAGTGCCCCCCCCCTCTTATTTCAAGTGGCTCCGCCACTGCACTGACTTGTCACTGCTTCTAACTTTTGTGGCTGGGGGCAGCCGACAATTCTTCAGGTGACATTGACCCA